GGTAAAAATAAACAAGTATGAAAGTCTATTAAAAGCGTTGAGAGTGAATAGAGAACTAGAAGTACTTTGGCCTTGTAGAATGGTTCTTGGCGGAGTTATAAATCACATGTGTTTTGCCCACAAAGCACATGCTAATATTAAGTTGTTTTTAAAGTGATTGTGTTGCATCACCATTGTTCTTCTGTGCTCTGGAGGGTGTCATGTTGCTTTAATGTAACGAACCAAGTCTTCAGCTCCTAAATCTCCATGCTGGAAAAGATTACAAAAAACTGAATGGCTATGTCTGAAGTCTTATGAATCTTGAGAATTTTTATTCTTTAGGAAGAATCTTGCAAGGACTTTTCTTATTCTTTGAGGGGAAAACCCTACATTTATAACAGGTTTCTGTGGAAAATATCAGCAATTTTAGGTTATATAGCATCCCATTTGAAAAATAAGCATTATCTGTGCTGAAAGGTCTGTATTTTAACCTTGTGCAGATGTGTGCTAAAGGAACATGATGTGCTTATTTGTTTCATTTATGCTACTTTCTTACTTTAAGTAAGATGGATGAAATTACACATTAAATAAAAACAGCAGCTCAAACAGCAATCTTTAGCAAATTGAACAAGGCTTCCAGAGACAGTGAAGAAAATGAGAATATGATTTTAATAACTCATTGGCTTTTGAGAGAATTGTCTATTTAAAAGCATGTGTATAATAATTTCTTTGCAGGATTTTATTCAGTGTTAACTGTCTAATGTTTAAAGGTAATCTGCCATTAAATTGTGTTGGTAAAATCTTACCAAAAGTATTGTATTTTCTATCATAACCATATATAGCACTTTAATTTTTACATACCTTCAGTTGTACACAGATGCACACATTGTGTGTGGCATGAAGCTAGTTAGTAAGAATAGCTGCGTGGCTTTAGGCAAGTTATTTAATCTCCCTGAACCTCAATTTTCCTTTTCTGTATGATATGGCATGTACCTTTCAGGATTAATGTCAGGATTAAATGAGAATATCAAGCACTAGCATAATGCC